ACATAAAATTACTCTGTTAAAATCTTATAAAAGTTTCTAAATGCTTAGTCTCAATGTCTGTACTCGTCTCCTCACAGACTGACAGCAACTAGTTCATAGGCCGCCGTAAGTGCCATAAGTGCACGAACCACATTAGCTTTCTTGTGGTGGAAACTGGGACCTGATGATGTAGGAGAGATGAGAGAGCTGCTGGAGTGATGTTTTGAGTAGTGAGAAGGGATGAGATTGGCTAGGATCCTGGATTTTTCATGTAAACAAATAGGCAGGAAGGCACAGATGCTGCTAGCTGGGTAGAAAGGGTGGTGGGAGATTGTGGCAGCTTCTTCTGTAAGTTCCATTTTCTTGATAAAAGTAAGAAGCCAAGTGATCATTGAGACTTGCATTGATACAGAATAGAAATTTCCCTAAAAGTGTGAGACTAATAGATAACTTTGCATAAAAAACAGGAGCATGGATACATACTGTATTAATCTAGTATTTGCTTTTTTTCAAAAATATTTTTTTATTTTACTATCTAAGTGTTTTCCATATGTGTAGGTCTTCCCTCTCCTAGGGAGACGGTAAATCTTAAAGGCAAGGGAGCATTTTTATTCATTTTGCATTCCATAGATCTTACAGTTACATGGTAGGTATACTCAGTAAATATATATAACATGGTGTTAAATGTAATCACATCTGAATTAACATTTTGCTTTAAGTTGTATACATTGTGTTCTGTTGATCTTTATGCTGCTATAATTACTGTGATGTCCTGATTAGATATACATGAATCATTTCTTTTTGTTATTTTCATAGCATTGCCACCATGGGCTATGTGTAAACAAAGAAATGGAAACACGTCCTGTAGATGGTGAATGGGGACCATGGGGACCTTACAGTTCTTGTTCAAGAACATGTGGAGGTGGAATCAAAAGCACAACCAGGCTCTGTAATCGCCCCGAGTATGTCTTTTTTATGTCACTGTAAATTAAGATTATCTCAAGGCACCAGAAAATAAACATCAGTTTCATTCACTTCTAAACTGGAGGCCAGTCTGTAAGTCTCCAAGATTCAGAAAACTTCTGGAATATTTTAAGCCACACTACTTTATATTTTGGTAGATT